GTGTACTTCCCGGAGCATTATGGCACCTTCAAAATGACTTTTAAAACAAGCTTAAATGAAGGAAGTTATCAGGAAAAGTAAGCTTATTAGCCTCAGATATGAATTACTCTACATGTTACTTTATTTTTATTTTTTTTAATAGTACTACAGATTGAACCCCACTTTATACACATGCTGGGAAATCACTTATCCCATTGAGCTACATCCTCAGCCTGAATGCCTACTGATTTTAGAAAAAGACTCAAAAGGAGATGTTTCACACTGTGCTGGGCACACCACAGAACCCCTTGGGAACTGGGACCCCGAGGATAAGGGATGTTCCTGGATTCTGCTCTCATTTTACTGTGATTTTTCTCTATGGCACTGTAACTGCTCTTGTGACTGCCTGCTAGATTGAAAACAGCTCCTGCTATGCATAGGTGCTATATTATGTAGAATAGAATAGAGGGGCTGGGATGAATTCCAGTAATTTGGGGTTTAGACTTTGCTACTAACTTGCTATTGCAATCTCAGTTTTCCTCTATATAAAATATTAAATTAGGAGTTAGACTAACCTCTATAATCTTTGGTTATAAAGGAATTCATAATCTGATGGAAAGTCCTATAACAACCAGTGTTCCTACTCTCACATTCCATACTTTCACTCAATTTCAAAGAGTTGCTTTGCCTTGACTTGAAAGCCTTGATGATAATACTTCCATTTTATGTATAGTTTTCAAAAGTTTCATCTTGATAATCCTCAAAATTACTTTGAGGTAAACAGAGCTGGAATCATCTCCATTTCATAAATTAGGAAACTGGTAGACCTCTTCAACCAGCACTAATTCACTAGGACCTTGTGCTGGAAAAGTTCCAGCTTCCTGTGGCCATGGTTTTTCTTCTACAAAATAAGGGAGTTTGGCTAGGATGACACTGAAGGTCCCTGCCAATCTGTTATTCTGTGAGTCTAAAAACATAAAAGATAATTTCAAGCATAAAGAAAGGATGGCTCATGCAGTCTTGGTTAAGTTGGTCAGTGGGAACATTCTTTTAAAGGAAGATTCATCACAAGCAACACCATGTGATATGTGGACAGCTGTCCCACAATGGACTGTGTGGAAGAGGCACTCCTTAAAAATTCAATGGAGATAAGTTCAAGCATAATTATAACATTCCAAATCCAAGACTGCAAGACATTCTAGGGGAGATGTCACAACCAAAAAAACAAGGAAAAATATGTGATAAAAGCCAGTGAGGGCTGGGATTGTGGCTCAGTGGTAGACCCCTTGCCTGGTATGGGGCACTGGATTTGATCCTCAGCACCACTTAGAGAAATAAATAAAATAAAGGTATTGTGTCCATCTAAAACTAAAAATATTTTTTTAAAAAGCCAAAGAGATGATTCTTTGGTTGCAGAGACAGTGGGCAATGAAGACTATGGTGTCCAAGTGGGCAGGAAGGCAGCAAATGGACGTGGTCATAAACTCGAGGGTACCAACTTAACAAGTACCCACTAGGTAATTTTAATTTAGGAGTTGAAGATTACAGCACACTGAGAATAGAATCACAGAGTAGGGCAAAGGTGAATTAGGGGTTACAAAAGGGCTGAACTAATTTTATGACCTTGAAAACGGTACTTCTCAACTCAGAGTTTAGTTTCCTCACTTTTCCAAAGGAAGAGGTTATCTCTAAGCCATTTCTCGGTGTCTCCAACATCCATTGATCCTCTTAAGTTGGCCTATCATCTGGCCTCAAAAATCTTTCCTTCCCTTTATTCCTTCTTTCATCTTCCAAATCACATACTACCCCACTCCTGCTTTTACTCTAATGTTAATACCCTAAGGCATAATCCCCCCCACCCAATATCAGATATCTTCTCTATTCCAATGAATTTTGCACATGACCCTTTGACTAATGCTTTGGAAAATGGTTTATAATACTAAACCCTTCCCTGCTCAAAAACCCTAGACTATTATAAAATCAAGTTTGAACCCAGCTCTCATGCAATAGGCATGCCTAACAAATCTATTTCCCACCATGACTGCCATGGACTTTCCTCTTGATGGTTCAGCAGAAGATGAACGATTTGGGAATCGACAGCACTGAATCCAAACCAAGACACTTCTATTTACTAGTTACTGGATGACCACAGGCAAACTAGTTAATCTCTGAGCCTATATTAAATGGTCACAGCCAGCCTGCTTTTGTGTGATTTTTTCCTATCTTTTCTTCCTATTGTCACTATTAGTATGTCTTTGTGTCCCCGCTTTGATCTACTGCCCAATTTTATACTCAGTAGTCTTGCCTAAGGGAAGATCGTCTGTTCTATGGAATGAAATGCACTGACTTTAGTACCTGATTTTATGAAAAATATCTGTTACTCAGAGAACATTTTTTAATCATTTCTAGATTTATCCTTTTAGCTCCAGATGGCTGAGACTACTGAAGGTCTGGCTTCTATTCAGATTTTAGTTAGAAGGGCCATAAATCCAATACGGACTGCCAATATCTGTACTTGATGTGCACCAATCCCCTTTCCAAAAAATGGAGGAAAGTATAAAAATGAGGTTTATCTGTGCCAAGCCTTAAAGGAGACAGAAAGAGGTGAGCAAGAAGAAAGACAGGGGCTGGAGTTGTAGCTCAGTGGTAGAGTTTTTGCCTAGCATGTGTGAGGCACTGGGTTCGATTCTGAGCACTGCATATAAATAAATAAAGTTCACTGACAACTAAAAAATTAAAAAAGAAAGGAGACTGGGAAGTACGAGGACATTTTCTCTGACATTTCTCAGGTCTAGTTCAGTTTGACATACTCAGTTTGGAAAACACTCATTCATGCCAATTGTGCTCCAAATAAGTCCTTTAATTTATGATAAATGGTTTAATTTATGATGCAGAATTTAAAGCCTATTACTTATCACTGTAATCTAGAGTATGAAACAATGTTAAGAAAATGATGTAATAAGAAAAGTAGTTATGTTTAACCTCTGATTTCTTCTTTTGTTATTATAGTACTACAGATAAAGCATATTCTCAGGGCATAAAACACATTGTGGCCCATAGGGCTT